TTTTTTTTTTTTTTTGCTTCATTTATGTATTTGACTTAGATTTTCAAAACCAGCGGTAATTCTCTGGCTAAGATTTATATTTGGTACACTTTATTTGCCATACTGAAATGCATTCATGCAAGTAACTGTTCACTCTTTATGAGTACTGTAGTGCTTGTTCAAAAAAAAAACTGAAAATTTTAAATGAAATTCTAAATCTTTGTAGCTATGAAATCATAACTAATCAAAAGGACTTTTCTATCTTCAAAATAAAATTTTGTGATGGCCTCTACATATTTGTCATCTGTTTCTGTTTTCAGAATACTTGTATAACCATTCTGATTAGTTCCTTTTATTGTATATACTAGTAGTTTTTTAACTGTATATGTAACAGAAATAAATTTGTTTTACTTCCCGTTTTTTTTCCTAGAGAGATAACATAGTATATGGACTATTTTGCATTTTCCCTTTTCTCTGGTTAAAATGATATATTCTGTGGGAAAAGGATAGATAAGTAATATGGTAAAATGGTAATTGGTGGGATCTAACACAAATTGGGGAGTTCAATGTGAAATTCTTTCAATTGTGCTATAGGTTGAAAATTATTATAATCAAATATTAAAAACAAGACTGTGTTTTATAAATCTGCCTAGAGCAACTCATGGAAGCTGCTATTTTTCTGTAACAATTTAGAATTCTGTAGTATGAATTTATCATAATTTATTCTCTCAATAAAAATTTTGGTTTCAATTTTTTTTTACCGACAGCATTAAAGTATAACTAATATGAATTCATGGAAGTTGGATTATTTGGCCAAAGTTTATGCATTTTTATGCATTTGAAACACATTGCTAAATTGCTGTCAATCAGAGTTGTACTGATTTTATACCTAGCAAGTTTGAGAAAGCACACTTGTTACATATTTACATAGTGTGTTTATTTACATGTGTTATTTTTTTCCTTTTTGAAAATTATTAATCCTTAAGATTTTAAGTTTCTGTTCTGGTACTAATATTCTCTTTTAGGGGACTGGTTTAGTCAATTGTATAATTGAAACACTATAATAAGGGGAGTCTTTTGCTTCTGTTTAACTCTTTGGTTCCCAAAGTGTTCACCAAGAACCTTTGGGAAGTTTGGAGCAGATCATATTGGTCCTATGAAGGATTTTAAATTGCTGAGATTAACACAAGAATGTTAGACATCTAGTCAAATACCACAGAAACTAGTAGCTTGAGGTAGTAATAATTTTATTAATCACCTGAGCTACACTTGTCCATGAAGTCATATTTTTGCAAAGCTGATTTTTTGGCAATTGCTAAACAAAAAAACAAGTATCCTGTGAAGATGATGTGGAACAGGTTTTCATTCTGAATCCAGGGTTTGAAAGTTGTGCAGTGCTGACAGGCACATAATTCCCATTTATAAGACTGAGGTTATTTAAGAATGAATTAAAATTTTTTGTGCAATTTATATTTATTTTTCCTTCAAAGTGCTACTTATATGTTAAAACACCTACATTATGTTGTTTGGATATAACTGTTTAATAAGTGTACTTGTTAGACATATCTGTTTTCCTAGGGCATTATGACAAAATTACTGAAAAACAAAGGATGTTGTGGACGAAAGGTTTGATAATCTCTATTTAGCTTCTTAAATATTTCTCTGACAAATTCTACTATTTCCTTTTTGTAGTAACTGTAAACTTTCATGGTGAGTTTTCCTCAACTGCTTTCTCAAGCTGGTGTGTCGGTTGGAGATCCTGTACTTCGCACTGGTAAACCCCTCTCTGTAGAACTTGGTCCTGGCATTATGGGAGCCATTTTTGATGGCATTCAAAGACCTTTGTCAGATATCAGCAGCCAGACCCAAAGTATCTACATTCCAAGAGGAGTAAATGTGTCTGCTCTTAGCAGAGATATCAAGTGGGATTTTACACCTTGCAAAAGCCTACGGGTATGTTTTTGTAACTGAGGATTTCTAAAGTTGGTTAAAAAATGTAAATTAGATGTTTATTGACTATTTTAGTCTAACTAAAAACAGAATGCAGAAGCATGGCTTACATTTTTCCTTAAATCTGCTAGTAGGATTGTAGAACTAGTATGTTCTACTGATAAGTAAGGCAAATGATTTAAGGATAGCATCAAGGATGTTAACGTTCAAAAAAACATTTGAACACAAAATATGTTTCTTATTTAGGTTGGTAGTCATATCACTGGTGGAGATATTTATGGAACTGTCATTGAGAACTCACTCATCAAACATAAAATCATGTTACCCCCACGAAACAGAGGAACTGTGACTTATATTGCACCACCTGGGAACTATGATACCTCTGTAAGTATTACATAGTCTTTATCTCACAATAAAATATTATCCAGCCAGAATAAATGAACAACATTGTATTAACAACTCTAATGACAATTGAGTGCAGTATGAAATAAGGACATATAGCATCTGATCTCATTTCTACATAGACTCTAAAACCAAACTCTTATATATAGATGACCTAATGGTGGTTGCCAGACGGAGCTAGGGGGAGGTGTTTAAGGTAGATAGATGGGTGAAGGGGGTCAAAGGTACAAATTTCTACTTAAAACTAAATTAGTTGTGAAGATAACAATATATAGCATGGTGACTGTGATTATAATATTGTGTTGTATATTTGAAAGTAGCCAAGAGAGTACTTCTTAAAAGTTCCCACCATAAGAAAGAAAAAAGGTTTTTCGTAATTATGGTGACTGATGTCAACTTTGCATGCTGTAGTGATTATTTCACTACATCAATGATGGGGGCCTACTTGTAGGCTAGGGGTTAAGTCTTAGTGCTATCTGCTATGGCCTGAATTCTCTGAGGCAGGGAGTTAACCCAGATGGCACAGCAGACCTCTCCTGTCCCGTGTGCTGCTCCCCTCTGCAATGTATTTAGGTCAGTCTCTCTATTTGGTTCACCAGTCTATCTCTGGTGAATCCTCTCAAGCCCCACACCTTTGGCTTATACCCAGATTTATTTGTTCATGCACACAAGAACTGGGGTATGGACCAGAGGTGCTAGGGCAGTGAAAGGATTCACCAGAGACAGAGTGGGGAGCAGAACAAGCAGACCAATGAAATACAATCTGAGGGGAGCAGCGGACCAGACAGGAGAAGTCTGTTGCACCATGTGGGTCACCTCTCTGGTCGGGGATTGAACTCGTGCTGAAGCAGCTATGACCAGCTTTCTAGTGCTGCTCTCTAACCCGTTGTTCCACCAGGGAGGGCCCACATGAATGAATAAGTCTTAAAAAAGAGAGGGACATAGGATTGCAAATAATAATTTTTCATAAAAAGAATATTCTCCCTCCCTGTTTCTACATTTCACCTCCCCATCCCAGGAAGAATCCAGAGTTACTTTGATTTTTAAAAGAAGAAATGTTTATAAATATTTTAAATCCTGTTGTATTTTTACAGGATGTTGTCTTGGAGCTTGAATTTGAAGGTGTAAAGGAGAAGTTCAGCATGGTCCAAGTATGGCCTGTACGTCAGGTTAGGCCTGTCACTGAGAAGCTACCAGCCAATCATCCTTTGTTGACAGGCCAGAGAGTCTTGGATGCTCTTTTTCCGTAAGTTTGAGCTGTGCATAGGTTTTCCTGCATAGTTATCATATGTGCTTACAGGCTCATTTTTTTATAGTTAAATGTTGTATGTTCTAATCCTGTAATATGTGTTATTTAGAGACTGTGAATTAATTATATTGAATACATGTTGTAATGCCACTGCTTTTTTTTTTTTTTAAGATTTATTATGTTTTTCTTTATTTATACATACAAGAACTTGGGTGTAGACTAGAGGTATGGGAGGTGTGAGAGGATTCACTAGAGACAGAGTGAGAAGCAGAAGAGGTATATTGACTGAAATACACTGCTGATGGGAGCAGCAAGTGAAGCAGGAGAGGTCAGCTACCTGGCTGGGAATCCAACTGGTGCTACAGTGGCTGCGGATCACTTCACAGAACTGAGACTTAATCCCTTGACACACCAGAGAGGCCCTAATCTGACTTTTAAAACTAAATGACAACAGAGCATCAGGCGAGACAGGAAAGGTCTGTTGTACCAGTTGGTCCCCTCACTGGTAGAGAATGGGACTAGTGCTGCAGTCATTGCCGCTAGCTGGATAGTGCTGAGACTTAACTCCTTGCGCCACCAGGACGGCCTGCCACTGCTTATTATAGTCAAATCATTGCAGTTATTTTTTCACAGTTGTAAAAGGACAGCAATATTTCTAAATTTAAAAAACCTTCCCAAAAACTCACATGAAAATAATTTATCATTCTTAACTTATTCTAGATTTAGTAGGTTGATGTCACTTTAGTTGATGGTTTCTGAAATCAGCTGTGCTCATGATGTCTTTCTTGATTATATTCTGCTGTTTTCCATTCTCTTTACTATTTAAAAACTCCTTTTTCTTTAAATCTTAGAATTCACCATACCCTACTTTAATTTCAACAAATGACCTTGTCATTTCATTCACAGAAAAGACTGAAGCTATAATTTCCTCAGTCTCTCACCAACAGCCCTTATATGTTCTAGTCTTAATACAATCCCCTACTCTTCAAGCCTACTGAGTAATTCTCACTATTATTCTTATTAAGATCTTCAATCCTTTGACACTTCTTTCTTATTAATCAATGTCTCCTGTTTCCATACCCTTCACTATCCAGCTTAGAGTCCATAGTCTGTCACTCTTATAAACTTTTTTTTTGTCACACCTACTTAGTAAAATCCCAACAATGAATCAGTCCAGTCATCTCCTCCCAAGTCTAAATACAAGTTCCTGAGAAAACAAAATATCCAGGGCACAAATGGGTTGTTAACTTCACTATCGTGGAGCAGTCCTTTTGCATCATCCTAATTATCATCTTCTTACCTTGGCAGCTGCTTCAGAACTCTTCACTCAACTCAGATCTTCAAGTCCTTTCTTTTCCCCTCATTCTCAACAAATAGTCATGTTTGTTTGAACCTTTACTGGGAAATCAGAGATGATATGAGTTATAACTTGTCATTTTGCTGCCACAGTAAACATTCTCATTCATCCCTTCTTTATTTCCTCTTCGTAGAGCTTATATTTTACCTCTCATCTCCTCATACATCCCCTGGATAAGTGATCTCTCCTTTATCATCCATCTAATGAAACAAAATCTACCCTCTACCTTTTCCACTACTTTTCTCCTCTTCACAGCCAGACTTCCTGAAACAATAAATTAGCTAACTCTACTTTTCCCAGTCTAATTCAGTGTCTCTGCCCTTAACTCCCTCAATTCTGTCACTAACATCAGACACTCCTATACTGATAATTCATTAAAGAATTAAAGAAGTTTTAGTGTTTTGTTAATTCCTACAATTTTGGATTTGCTTTCTACTCCTTCATTGAAATAGGAGTTAGCTTCTGTCTTCAAGTTCATTCTCTCCTATAGGTTCCTTTCCCCTGAATTTTGGTATTAGAGTTTTCCTTTTTCTAGAACTTCATTCTTCCTCATTCTTTTTTATAAAAAGATTTATTTTTACTTATTTATGCATATAAGAGCTGGGATGTAGTCCAGAGGTATGGGAAGAAGGAGGTGAGAGGATTCACTGGAGACGGATTGGGGTGCAGTGGGCAAGACAGAAGAAGTCTGCTGTGCCATGTGGATCACCTCCCTGGTGGGGATCCAGCTGGTACTGCAGTGGGTCAGCTCCTGTCAGAGATGGAACTCATGTTAGGCTAGCTGGTGTAGCTTGATAAGCCCTTCTTCTTCATTCTTTATCGTATACTCTGTGGATGACTTAACCTACTCTTGTGACTTCAGCATTCATCTAAATATGATGACTCATAAATCTGAATCTTTATCCTAGATCTCTTCTGAGTTGCAGACTCTTCTCTCCACTTCTAATTACACCTCTCTGGTTGAATATCCTACAGATGACTTATAAGTCAGTATATTCAGAGCTAAAATCGTCGTCTTAAATCACCACTCTCTTCCTTGAAACTTGCTCATCTTTCTTTGCACCTTTCTCAGCAAATGTCATTATTTTTCCATTAAATTAATGCCTAATTTGTTACCCTTAATTCTCTCAATGATCTTTTTATCCTTTTTATCTAATTATTGAACAAATATTTTTATCCTGTTTACTGTTTTTTATGAATTTCATCCCTAATCCATGACCTTAATTTAAGACTGTTACCCTAATTTCTGCAAGTCATATAAAACACTTACCAGCTTCCACAATGTTTTGCTTGATTTCCGTATGAGCTCTTCATCGCTGTTAATGCCTTACCTTACGAAGCCATCCATGATCTAGTAAATACTTGCCTTCTAGTTGTTCCATGTATTTGATTGGCCAACTACTTCCTTTATGCCATGTTCCAGGCACACTGAAGGATTTTTAATTCCTCAAGTAAGGTTCCCTCTTGCCCCTCATGCATATTGTTCCCTCTGGAATGATATTTCTCTTTTTCTGGCTAATTTCTATCTCCTTTCAAGTCTTAGCTTATTTCAGGAAGAATGGCCTAACCCAGTAATAGTTTGGTTTTTATTTTAGTTCTGAAATGATCCATAGGTTTAAATCATATGCATAAGAAGATAGTACATGAATAATTGATAAATAAACTGAATCCATAATAAAACATTTTTTCATTTAAAAAAAAAAAAAGAAAGTCCTAACCTCCTCCAGCCCAGGGTTAGACTTTATATCCCTTCCTGTATACTCCCACAATTTCTCGGTCCTTTCTAGTGACAACACTTTTCAAATTGAATCACTGAACTCCCAAACTGGGCATACACCCTACTTTCTCATCGTTGGCAGGTTAAAAGTGATTTGAAAGAAGTATACATATCATAGGATAAATGAATGGGCCTTCTTAGTTTATCAAAGTCATGAGAAGGTTTTGAGGGGAAAAAATTTTTAATGCATATTAGTTTTATGTTGAAAAAAATTATTACTGATGATGCAATGTTTCTGTGAATTTTGTGATAAAACACAGTATTACAAAGAAATTTCCCTTTACATTTCATCTCCCACCCCACCCCTTTAGTGTGTGAAGGCAAACACATACTGCAGTACTCACTTTCCTCAGTCCTTAAAACTGTTTCACTCCACTGCCACTTTTTAGGGAAAGTTTGAAGGTGACTGCTGAATGGTACTGTAAGTACTAGCTGACTGTGCACTTTAGTCCACTGGAATGTGAGCTCTGTGAGTACAGAAAACATGGCCCTCTTATTCAATATTGTCTCTCTAGCATCTCCAAACACAGTCTTCAGAGCCTAGGAAGTATTTTGTAAATAATTACTCAATGGGTCAAAGGGGGTTAGTGAATATCTTTATTCATTAACCTTTATAGCAAGCTGTAACTATTTTTAAATTTTTTAAACAAATTTATTTACTTATGCATATAAGAGCCAGGGTACAGGCCAGAGGTGCAGGGAGTGAAAAGATTCACCAGAAACAGAGTGGGGAGCAGAACAAGTAGAAGGACTGAAATGCACTGCTGAGGGGAGCAGTAGGCTGAGAGGAGCGGCCTGTTGTACCATGTGGGTCAGCTTCCTAGGTTGAACTCCTGCTGTAGACAGCTTCATAGTTCTGAGGCTAGGCCACCACGCAGGCCCCACAAGCTGTAACATTTTTTTTTACCTAAATAGACCGCTTTTTAAAGTTGTCTTTTTTTTAGCTTTAATTCCTATATTATGTTTTCATGTACTAATTTATGTAAGCTTTCAAAGTATTTGTACTATTTTATCTTACTATTTTCATACTTCTCTTACCCATATCCCTTAAGAGAGATATTTTTGCTTTTCAATTATAAAAGATAGAGATGATTGATAATCAGAGGCACATTATTTTAGTTACCAAACAGGGACGGCATTTAGATCTACATCCATGTATTATCTTTGTGAGTGTGTATGTAGAGATGAAAGTATTTCAGAGTTCTTTAAGTTGTATTTTGTGTGTCACTAATCTAAGCTGGTAGTAGTTATTATCAGCACACTTTGTTTTCTGTTTAGATGTGTGCAAGGAGGAACAACTGCTATCCCTGGAGCTTTTGGCTGTGGAAAGACTGTGATATCACAGTCTCTATCCAAGTATTCCAACAGTGATGTGATCATCTATGTAGGGTGTGGTGAAAGAGGAAATGAGATGTCTGAAGTCCTTAGGGACTTCCCAGAGGTTTGTATTTATAAAGCTTTCACGTAATTTTCTAGAAATCAAGCACACCACTAGACAGCTTTTGATCATCAATTAAAGAAGCTCTTGGTTGGATCTGGAACAATACTCTCATTTGTCAATCTCTTAAGGAATAATTACATTTGCGATCTAATTTGTATATTCAGGGAAGACTATCATTTTTAATAAAGCACATGAGAATTTCTTTTTGTAGTTTGATACTTTCAGTTAGGAGAAGGAGATGAAATAGGCAAAAAATTTATGGATGTCAACTTTACCTAGGCTTAATGTGGTCTAGAGGTTTTAGTACTTGGTGGTGGGGGAGAGAAGAGTTTGGAGTGATGGGGAATATTCTTTGGGGACATTGATTATAGGAGCCTTAAATATGAATGTGTAAAAAAGGGGCAAAAATGTTCCATGTGGAAATAGAGGATCACTAACGGATTTTTTGCCTCTAGCTTACAATGGAAGTTGACGGTAAGGTAGAGTCAATTATGAAGAGAACAGCTTTGGTAGCCAATACCTCCAATATGCCTGTTGCTGCAAGAGAAGCATCTATTTATACTGGTGAGTATATAAATTGAAATAACGGCAGTAACAACTGATCTTAAGATTTTTAAGCTAACACCAACTTTTTCTTTTTCAGAGAACTTCTGTTTCCTTCTACAATAACTCTGTCATACAACCATATTTGTATCTAGATCTGACAATTAGCATTTTACTTTCTCTGCCTTATTGGATACCTATTTAGTCTGTATTTCAGAACAGTGAGCTAGCACCTTTCCTGTATTTATTCCCCTGTATGTATTTCCTACATGTGAAAACTGTCTTTTCTTTTGGATAGTAGTTCTTTATAATGATTTATAAAGGCTCTTTGACATTAGCCTTTTATCTGTCACGAGTTGCAAATATGTTCCATATGTTCATCTTTTGAGTTTGTCTGAGGTTTTATTTTTTCCTTGAAGGCGTTGATAATGTTAGGTCTATGAAAGAGCCTATGAACTTTCTTTGAAATTTATTCATAGGTATCTGTGTTCTACTAAGTATTTCTAAGATATACACACCAGTATTAGTGAATGTTACTAGAGACTTAAAACGTAGCCACACTTGTATAAGACAGTATCGCTTCCATCATGAGATTGATATGTGGCAATTACTGTGATTTTTAAGTCTTAATATGTAAGTAATACTTCTTTAAGACTTTGTTAATGGGATCATTTTTAGGAAGTCTCAGAAACCATTTTTTTATTCTGAGATGTAATTTAATAAATAGTAAAGTGCTGAATTTTTCAGTAACAATTTTGTTTTTCATACACAAGCTTCTATTTTATTACTGGTAAAATCAAGGAACAGAGCAATAGGTTTTGGAACTCATATAGCAACAGCTATATATTTCTAATATCATAGAGTTGTATAGTATTTTGTACTTTGCTGAAGGCATGTATGTGTGTCCGTTCATCCAAAATGTTTAGGTAGATTAGGGAGTGAAGTTTCTTTGCTATGGTTAATGACAGGACAAACTAGAACCCAGGACTCCTTTGTGTACGTTAGCCTCTTCTAAGTGGTTTACTGTCTGTGACTTTACACATGGCTTCCAGGGCTCCATGTAGTTATTTATCGCTCAGAAGGAAAAAAGAGCGTGGAAGGATTGTACTTATTGTTTTAAAACTTCGATACAGTTGAATAAAAACCAAGTTTATTCACCATAGGTTATAACTCACAATATTCTTCCAATTTAGGAATTACACTGTCTGAATATTTCCGTGACATGGGCTATCATGTCAGTATGATGGCTGACTCTACCTCTAGATGGGCTGAGGCCCTTAGAGAAATCTCTGGTCGCTTGGCTGAGATGCCTGCAGGTGGGTGTTTATATTCTTTATTATGTAAGCAGAATGAGTAGGATTTGGGGGCTGACTGAGAGTCATTCTTTTGAAACTCTTTGTTTTCATTTTCAGACAGTGGATACCCTGCATATCTCGGTGCCCGTCTGGCCTCTTTCTATGAGCGAGCAGGCAGGGTGAAATGTCTTGGAAATCCTGAAAGAGAAGGGAGTGTCAGCATTGTAGGAGCGTAAGCACTTCAACTGTTTACTTTGCAAAAAGAAAAAAAAAAAGTCACTTACTTTAAAGAGAACATTTTTCCCTTCCTCTGAGGGCAGTGGTTTTTAAGATTCAAGGTCACTGCGTAAAGCCACACACAGTTCTTGGAACTTTTCCTCCTTCCTTCATCTACTAGAACTATAAGAAGTAATTGTAATGCCCCATTTCCCATACTAGATGATGTTTAATAATTATCTTATATGCAACATAGTACTGATTTTTATTTAAGGTTCTTAGGTGAGATTTTTCTTTCCAAAGTTGTTTTTACAATAAAAAGTTTTTACAATACAATGGACTTTTCCGGGGAAAAAAATGGACCTTCATGTATGTTATTTTTCATAATCACTTCTAATAATTTTCTTTTTATTTTAAATTTAGAGTTTCTCCACCTGGTGGTGATTTTTCTGACCCAGTTACATCTGCCACTCTTGGAATTGTTCAGGTATATCTTTCCTTCCTGTGGTCAGTGATTGACATGCACATATGCTCAGGCTGCTCTAATGTTACCTAAATCATTAAGAAGTATTTCACTTACTTACATTGGTAAAGTCTGTTTTAGAAAGACTCATCACTTAGACCCTTTAATGCTGTTTGTTCTTTCCTAACGCTTTACCTGAGCTTTATAATAAGCTATTAAGTGGCAAAGTTTATTAATGTTAAAATAACACTAAGAATAACCCTCGTAGAAAAAACACCTAGCTCCAAAAAATATATAATATGCAGTAAATTTATTTTTCTTAATAGTATGGTCTAAGGCAAATGATGTTATTAGAGAGCAGCTCTTTTCCATTCAGTGATAATTTTGGAGACCAGGGCTGCGTCCAGCTTGTGGCTTCATCATCATTAGCCTGGTAATCATCTGTATCTTATTGGTACCAGGGGAAACCAAGGAAAGCACATCTACTATTTGAACCTTGGGCTCAGACATAGTCACTTCACTCATTCTCACCCAGATGAAAGCAAAACTGGAAAATGTAATTTCTGCATAAGCAGCTGTTTCCCAGTGACAAAGCATGAATTTTAGTGAATAGCTGACCAACTTACCCATTAAAAGAAGCCTAAATGAAAGGTATATATAAACCAGAACTATAGGTCCTCCTCAGTGGTGCAGGGGTTAAAGTCAGCATTGCTAGCCACTGCAGCTTTTCGGTTCAATTCCTAGCCAGGGAGGTAACCCACATGGCACAGCAAGCAGATCTCACCTGTCTGGCCTACTGTTCCCCTTACCAGTGTATATCAGTAGGTACACTTCTGCTCCCCACTCTCTCTCTGGTGAATCCTCTTACCTCCACACTTCTAACCTACACCCCAGTCCTTGTATGCATAAATAAATAAAAATAAATCTTAAAAAATAAATATGTAGTGCAGGGCTTTTTTTTTTTTTTTAAAGTTAGTATATTCTGAGGAACATGTATTCATTTGGGAAAAAAAAAACACTGTATTTGTTTATGTTTCCCCAATATCAGGTAAAAAGAAATTGTGGTTGCTTTGTAAAATTTATAATTTTCAAGATTTTAACCTTTGTTAAATTTTTCAGTGTTAAATTTCAGAGAAAGGAGGAACATCATTGAAAATGGACAAAATACAGGTGAAGGTGTGACTTCAAAAAAATGACTTTCAGATTTTATTGGATTGGCCCAAATGAGAGGGAACTTAATTTAGTCACAACATTTAGAGGTTTTTTAATCAGGATCTAATCTCAGTAAAGCATTTTCTTGTTTACCTGCTTATATTAGAGCATAATAATTTTCAAAGGGTTTATTAATTTTTTTCCTATCAGATTTGGCACACATTTAAGTAAATTCAGATGATATTTGATCTTATTTATAAACACCACCTGCCCCGAAATTGGAAGGAATACATTTTTTACTATAAATTTTATTGCATTTCAGTTGTACTTGATACATCCTAAAATTTAATTTGACAACTTTTTTTTTTTAAGATTTATTTATTTGTAATATAAGAACTGGGGTAGAGATTGGGTATTTGTAATATAAGAACAGGCTAGAGCTGGGGGGAGCGGTGAGAAGATTCACCAGAGACAGAGTAGGGAGCAGAACAGGCAGATGGAGTGAAATACACTGCTGAAGGGAGCAGCAGGAGAGACAAGAGAGGTCTGCTGTGCCATGTGGGTCACCTCCCTGGTGGGGAATCAAACTCAAGCTGCAGTGGCTGTGGATAGCTTCATAGTGCTGCGCTCTAACCCATTGCACCACAGGAAGGGCCCTAATTTGACAATATTTATAGAATTGTATATGTAGTATCAAATATATACTTTCATACTTTTATTTTTGTAATCTTTATGCTTTGTTTTTAAATCAGGTGTTCTGGGGCCTAGATAAGAAACTAGCTCAACGTAAGCATTTCCCCTCTGTCAACTGGCTTATCAGCTACAGCAAGTACATGCGTGCCTTGGACGAGTACTATGACAAACACTTCACAGAGTTTGTTCCTCTGAGGACCAAAGCCAAAGAGATTCTGCAGGAAGAAGAAGACCTGGCAGAAATTGTACAGCTTGTGGGAAAAGTGAGTTATTAAATCCCATAGAGAGGCTAGCTCTGTGAGTTACACTGACTTATTTTGAGGACAGATAGAAATTTGGATATGTAGATTCTTGCCTTGTAAAATGAGAATTAAATTTTTTTTATGATATAATAGTTTATTTTTACATCATTTTGTACATTTTTTTTTTCAATCTCAGTTGTAATCCCCATGGGTTTCCCATCCCCAAGTCACCCATGTGCCATCATCATAGTCCAGTACACTCCCTCCCTCATCCCCCCCCCATCCCCACTCCACCCCCACAAAATGTCTCTGGTATATGGTTGTTTATTATTCTTACTGTTTTCTCGCCTGGTCCATTATACTCCTGCTATGAGCGAAACCATCCGGTATTTTTCTTTTTCTTTCTGGCTTATCTCACTAAGCATGATCTTTTCCAGCTCCATCCAAGTTGTTGCAAAAGACATGTGTTTCTTTGTTTTTGGTTGCTAAGTAATATTCCACTGTGTATATGTACCACATAGAGTATTAAATATTTTTAAGCTGATAAATTTTTAGATTATTTCTTTATCTACATGTTTGAGGGACATACTAGTGGTGTGAAAAGTAGAAAGATGAATATTGTTTGATCTGTTATTGAACCAACAAGCCACTCTAGCACTTAATGGTTTAAACAGTGTTTTCATTCTCTTGGGTTTAGAGTTGATGGACTCAATTGGGTATTCTTGCTTGAGAGCCCCTCCCTCCTAAGTGGCAGTTACATAGTGACTGAGGCTGGAGTCAACTAAAAGTTTTCTTCTCTCATATGTCTGGTACCTGGGCAAATAGCTGGAAGTGGTCAAGACATGTCCCGCTCTGGTATCTCCACATGAGAGATCAGGACTCTTAGAACAAGTTTAAGAATGAAAGGGATTGGCAACTTCCAGCCTGTTAGGTCTGGGCTCCAAAACTGGCATGATATCACTCTGCCTTACTGTTTTGGTCAGAGCACCCACAAACTTGCCCAGGGTCAAGGGCTTATACTTGAAGTGGCTATTAAAAGAATAAACTAAACTGTTAGGACCTTTAATATAGATAGATACATACATACATAGATAGATAGACCCTAAGCATTACCTTGTTTATATTGTTTGGTTTTTTTTAAAGATTTATTTATTTATGCATACAAAACTGGGATACAAACCAGAAGTGCAGGGGCGGTGAAAGGATTCACCAGCAACAGAGTCGGGAGCAGCACAGGTCAACTGACAAAGTACACTGCTGAGGGGAGCAGCGGGCATGTCAGGAGAGGTCTGCCATGTCATGTGGGTCAACTCCGGGGCTGGAGATCAAACTCATGCTGAAGTGGCTTTAGCTTCTTAGCGCTGTGCTTTAATCTGCTGTGCCACTGGGGAGGCCCACCTTGCTTATATATTGTAAAGGAGAAAAAAAAAAACCACAGCTTACTTTTCTTGAAGTAGAATGTACCCAATGCTAAGCACATTTGAGGTGGTATAAGTAAACTATCATGTATTTTTGCAGGAGTGTCAGGACTAGGAGTCAGGATTCTAGTTTTGCTCCCACTACTAAACAGCCACATGACCTTAAACAAGTGGCTTACATTCTTGTCTCTTTCTTGAAGTTTTATAAAGTCACCTCCTAATATTTTCCAACAAAGGATTTTATTACTAGATAGCTAGTGATGTATTAAATACTCATTATTTATTATTAACTGTGGCGCAAGAGGTACAGAAATAGAAGACCTCCAAAACCAAACAGAGACAATACAGGAATAGAAAAATGGGGTTCATTTTGTTTATGAATAGAGATACTAAAATCCTAAAGTTAAATATTAGTTTACTAGGTCCTGCAGAATATGAAAAATAATAAAATGACTCAAGAGCATTTTAAAAATACATCATGAGCAAGTAAAGTTTATCTTAGGAATGCACATATGATTCAACACAGAAAATCTGTTATTATTAACTCACTGATAAAATTAATAAATGGAAAAATGAAATTCACCCAATATGGAAAAGGTATTTGAAGTTAATTACCTGTTATATGTAAAAATCTCTTAGCAAACAAGGAATGGGAGGAACTTCCCTTCTTTGACTTATTAAAAGAAATACACTGAAACCTTAGGAAAACATTTTAGTTAATGGAAAATTTTCCAGTGTATTCCAAAAATATTTATGAAAAAATCAGGAATATTTCACCATATTGGTAATACCAACTATGGTATCAGTCAAATTTGCAATTGAATCTTCTGAGCAAATCAATAATCATTCTAAAATTTTAGGATATCAGAAAAATACACTGCCTTAAAAATATTAAAGCGGGAATGTTTCCTTTATTGGATATCAGTACAAAACCAAAATAATAAGAACAGTGTGGTATTGGTGAAATAACAAATGTATCACTGGAATTTAAGAGAAATAGATTGATTATATAAGAGCCTTTAATGTGGTTAAGATGCTACACAGTTTAAATAAGGGAGTGTAGATTGTTTCAGTTAATGATGATGAAGGATCACTTACTATTTGGAGAAAAATAAAAATAGATTACATACAAAGGCAGACTTCAGCTACATCAGCAGTTTAAATGTGAAAGATAAGACTTTCAAGCTAATACTAAACAAGTATCTTTTTGACTTAGGGGTTGAGAATGAACTTCTGAAACAAACAACAATTTTTTCATTATATAAAAAGTAAGAAATTTTGTTTAACAAAAGCTCCCGTGACTAAAGGTAACAAGCAAATGACCTGTTGGGAGAAGTTCACAAAATCTAAAACTTATGGCCTAAAATGTACAAAGAACTATAAGTAAATGAGAAGAGTAGAACTCAAACAGAAATGTGGGCAAAGGAAGGAGCAGAGGGATAATACAGAGGAAATAGAAAAGATTTACAAGCTTGTGGAGGAGGCCTCAAGCAACGACATTATACTGGTTAGCATGGCAAATATTAGGAAACCAGCCTGCACAGGTCCTGCGGTGAGGAGCGCGCCAGGACTCCCGTGGTGGCTGAGTCATCTGGTGCTGACCACGGAGAGCAGTCTGAGAGGACATGCTTGCACACCCTGTGCCCGAACGGTTCTACTTTAGATTATTCAGCGCAAAAGAAATTCTCAAACAGGTCTTCTAAATGGATGTGTTTATGGTGGCAAGGAGTTAGAAAAAATCTTAAGTGTCTTTACTGAGGACAAAAGATGGAAGACAAAAATAGGGAAGGGACATACTATGGAACGAAGTGCCCACGAGCTGGAAGCAGCAGGCTGTGTGACACAGAACAACAGGGGAGGATTTTAAAAACAATGTGCCTGACATGGGTGATTTGGTGATGGGAAACCCTAGAGGATTGCAACTGAGATGGGAAAATGCACAAAAATATGTAAAAATAAACTATTATAAAATTAAAAAACAAAAAAACAATGTACCTGGCCCTCCCAGGTGGCACAGGGGTTAAAGCACAGCACTAAGAAGCTAAAGCCACTTCAGCGTGAGTTCAATCCCCACCCTGGAGGTGACCCACATGGCATGGAAGACCTCTCCTGACCTGCCCCTGTTCCCCTCAGCAGTGTACTTTGTCAGTCAGCCTGTTCTGCTCCCCACTCTAACTCTGGTGAATCCTCTCACCACCCCTGTACCTCTGATTTGTACCCCAGTTCTATATGCATAAATAAATAAATATTTAAAAAAACAAAAACAATGTGCAGAAGACCACAAGTAAAACTGCTTTATATAATTCAAAATAATAGTACAAATCAAAATATACTTCTTCCATGAATTTATGCAAATGAAAGGAAACCCACAAAATATATTGAAGAGGGGCTACGCATGAAAGGAATTAACAAAAGAAAGAAAAGAAATAGAAGACCTGATTTTACCTCTAAAGAGTTTAGTGCACAGGAGCATAGGTAACAAGTGGCTGCTGTTAATTTGCAGGGCCGCCTCTACCTTTCCCATAGTCCCAAGGAATCTTTACTCCTGGTGATCCCAGCAACAGTGCAGTAGTATTATCTGAGGTTGATGCTTGCAAAAGCTAAAGCTTTTGAGACATTGATACTTAAAGAGTGAAGTTCTGTAACAGCAAAACCAATAATATAGCACTCAGACAGATAAGAACATGCTTGCTATTACTTTGCATTTGCATAGTTTTAACACCATGTGATATTAAGAGAAAGTTAACTGTTTATGTACTATACAGAACCTGTGAGATAAACTTAAAACTAAGAATTTAAATAAGATGGAAGAGTAAGATGTGAAGGATAACTTGTTTCTAAAAAGAAATGTCTGTCTGTACACTGTGTTCATGGCAGCTATATTTGCAGTAGCTAAGAGGTAAAAGTCATCCAAATGTTGTCCTTTGCTAAGTGAATGGGTAAACAAAATGGAGTACAAACACTGAAATATTCAGCCTTACAAGGAAACTCTAAGGCATGCTGCAGCATGGCTGAACTTGGAGGACATTGTGTCAAGTGAAGTTAGTTTGTCACAAAGAGAAGAATGCTGTATGATTTCACTAATCTGAAGTAGTCAAATTCATAGAAAAGGAACGGATTGGAGAAAGGGTAAAAAAGAGAGTTGTTGTTTCCTGGTATAGCATTTTAGATTTGCAAGATAAAAAAGTTAAAGTCAGTTTCACGTGAATAAAACTTAACACTATGGAACTACTGACCTATACTCAAAAATGGTTAAGATAGCAAATTTTAAGTTAGGTTTTGTAATGATAAAAAGACTTCAAAAGATAATTATGAAGTTAATTTATTAATGATGGGTGATGGAAGATGTGCTGATTATATAATTTTTTTCTTGCTAGGTGATTATAATTAACTGCAGGACTGTTGCTCCTGCATGTAGAAGTAAGTTTCTAGATATTTTTTTTCTCTTCTAGGCTTCACTAGCAGAAACAGATAAAATCACTCTGGAGGTTGCAAAACTTATTAAAGATGATTTCCTACAACAAAATGGATACACTCCTTATGACAGGTAAGCTATCTTAATTTTCTTTTTGTTCAAGTATTTTCTATAGAGTTTTGAAGAAGACACTACCTTCACATTAAAAACCTTTTTTCCCCTTCATATAAATAGTCTGATTAAACATTTAGGTTTTTTTTGTATCTTTATAACAGGTTTATAACAATCTAACTTGTCCTCTTGATTTATTGTACATAAGAACTGGGGTGTGGGCTAGAAGTATAGGGAGTGAGAGGATTCACCAGAGACAGAGTGGGGAGCAAAACAGGCAGATCTACTGAAATCCACTGCTGAGGGGAGCAGCGGGTAAGACAGGAGAGGTCTGCTGAGTCAGATATGGGTTAATTCCCTAGCCAGAGATCAAACTCTGGCTACAGAATGATAGCACTGAGACTTAATCACTAGGCCACGACAGAGATCCAAACTTTCCATTTCTTTTAAACTATGATCCTTTAAGTTCCTCCATCACAGGGAAGAACTCTTGTCATACTTGGTCCCATAAAAAACTAAAATGATATCTAGATAAATAGAAGGGTTATAAGAGTGTAGGATGAGCAGAAAATATGACAATATAATCACTACATCTCCAAAATCTGCAAAAGGAACTTAAATTCTAGGAACCACATAAATAAGGAAAGTTCTTTGGAAAGAGAATAATGAAGCGTGTACATAAAATTGTGTAAGTGTATTTAAATGTGTTGGGAGGTTGACAATAATGGGTGTGCTCAAAGTTGCTTATTTGCTTGTGTGTCTTCATTATTAATTATGATGGGTAAATTAATATGACCACATTAGGGACTCCTTGGTGGCACAGTGGGTTAAAATGCAGCACTATGAAGCTGTCCTCAGCCACTGCAGCATGAGTTCAATTCCTTGGCAGGGAGGTGACCTCCCCTGTCTCATTGCTGCTTCCTTCAGCAGTGTATTTCATCCAGTCTGCCTGTTCTGTTCTGTTCTGTTCTGCACTCTGTCTCTGGTGAATCCTCTCACTTCTTGCACCTCTGGCCTGTACCCCAGTTCTTTTATGCATAAATAAATAAATCGTCAAAAAAAGAAAATGACCACGTTAATTATTTTGACTTTTATTTACTGTAGGTTCTGCCCTTTCTACAAGACAGTAGGAATGCTGTCCAACATGATTGCATTTTATGATATGGCCCGTAGAGCAGTTGAAACCACTGCCCAGAGTGACAATAAAATCACATGGTCCATTATCCGTGAGCACATGGGGGAGATCCTCTATAAACTTTCCTCCATGAAATTCAAGGTATATTTGTTTCTACTGTAATTTGTTTAAGTAAAATGTGGGGTTTTGCCCCAGCCTGTGTGTGAAATCTGGATTTATCATTTTTACATTTGCTTGGATTATGTAAAACCAGACCAGACCTCAAAGGCATCGTCAGATAGGAATTCTAGTGATGTTAGTGTGTTACGTCTGAAATAAATGCTGACGCTTGCCTGTTCATCGTAGCTGCTAGGCTATTTAGAGCTAAAATCATTGCTGAGCAGCAATTACCTTACCTCAAGTTGCCATTAACATCTAGCCACCATGTTCATGTGATATGACTTCTTCTGCTTACTTGTTCTAAATATTCTGTTGCACACCATTTTCAACTTTTCAGCAGACATTCATTCTTTTGGAAGTATACAAGACATAAAAAGATAATTAAGTGAAATTATCAGAAGAAACTGGACTGTGTAGGGTTGTTTTTATAGTAGTTGATCAATAGTATTTAATTAGTAAATATACTCGAAGTCATGACATTCGAGTATATTTACTAATCTATTGAGAAATTAAGACTGATTCTCTGAATGTGTGTGTTTTATATAATGTATAATGTTTGTTTACATTACAGGTTAAAAGTAAGTTTATACAAATAGTATATAAGTACTAAATAAATACAAAACTTTAAATCAAAATTTTTAAAATAGTCATATCCTTTGAGCCTAATCATTACATTTCAAAACGTATAACCCAAGGAAATAATCGGACATTTTTGATATAAACATGTGTAACACATTACTTATTAAACTTCTTAAGAGTCATCTAGAGTAATCATAGTTAATAGTATGTTATAGCAAGAATATTATGAAGACATTACCAAATTTTTTTCAAAGAGATGAAGAAATGCTTATAGTATAATAAGTGAAAAAAAAAAGCCAGGTTGTAAAGAAATTCCATTATGTAATTTGATCCAAATTTTAATTTAAAAAATCTTATAAGAAGAGGAAAAATATGTAAGTAGTAATAATATAATAATGATGATTTCTAATACTATAGTTAAAGATGATCCTTTTTTCTATTTATGTGCATATTGTATCAAGTTAACAACAGATTTTATGTGTTTTTTTTTTTATGTCATCAAGTGTTCTTCTGTAGTAGTATTTGTTGGCCAGGGAATAATATTTTCCAATTCCATTTTCTGGAAATTTTTTCCAAAGGTGACTTGAATTCTCTAATGACTTTTTCAGGATCCTGTGAAAGATGGTGAGGCTAAGATCAAGGCTGACTATGCACAACTTCTTGAAGACATGCAGAATGCATTCCGTAGCCTTGAAGATTAGAACTGTGATTTCTTTCCTCCTTTTCCTGAACAAGTTCCTATGTGTACATTTTCCTAAATTTCTCATCTCAAACCCTCTGCTTCTTTATTGTGCAGCTTTGAGATTAGTGCCTATGTGTGTTATCATTGTTTCCCTGTTTATTTGACAAGTAAACATTCCTTTGTACAAGTGTTTGAAGGACCTCCCTGATCCTTTCTCCGAAGTGGTGAATGTAGTAAATATGATATACAATGGCTACACTACTGTAAACTTGTATGTATGGCGACATCTCTCCTTGTCTTTGGTTTGCCCTTTCCTCATCACCATTAAATTGTAAACGGACTACTGCATGTACTCTCTTTGCATTGGATTTGGAATGGAAAGCCAGATTTCCATATATTTTTGACAGGTACTCTGAAATGACTCAATATCTATATGGTAAGGTTATTTGTAGCTTAGCATTTTGCTAAGTAACTATTTTGTTTCTTTTTTAAACATGAGCGTTTATGAATTACTCCCTCCAGTGCAAATCAGGAATATTTATGGGAAACTGTTGGGAACCTACTGTTTTCAAAACAGGCCTTTGAGGGACTCAGCATGATTTATGAATCAGTACCTCTTAAAAAGTGAAAAAGAAACCAGGAGGTCAAACTTAGATTTACATCATCTAACTAAAGCATAACTAATTTATTTCACTAGGAAAAAATCAGTATCAAAGAATATTATTCTACCCCATTACTTTTTTTTTAAATTTTATTTAAAACAAGCATCAAGAACTTGATCCACATCCTCTTACTTTTTTAAACATCTTAGTACCCTAAACTTCTCAGAATCATGTGGCAGTGGGATGGGCAATAAAATGTCACCAAGAAAATATTTAGTCGTGGTTGAAGACTGTTTGCACCTTTAAGGATAAGTTGGGCTGTAGTGATTCTTAGGTCCACAATGGCATTATGTTTTTACAAGATAATGACATGTGTCAATTCTTTGCATGTTTCCTTGTCAAATTTTTGAACGACCACTTTACCGGTTATAGAAAACAGCGCCCTCATGTAGCATTTGATTCATTAACTCAAAAGATTTCTCAGAATATCTATAGCCTTAGGAACATTGCAGTTTCTATTCTGTTTTCAAGGACAAAATTAAATCTTGCATCTGCTAATAGCAGATGCTGGGGGAAAAGATCATTTCATCCTTAAGTATATGTTTTAAAATCATTTCTATGTTTGCAAAAGAAGGCACACGACAGAACAACTCTGAGAGCAACAGTTTCCCATTTCTAGCCAATAGTGTGGGCACATTGCTCCCTCCTGGGGAAGGGGAAAGGGTATATGAACATGTCTAACACTCTCAGATACCTACATGTAATAGCCTAGGTAGAGTATTTATTTTATGCCTCAAATATGTTGTTATTTAAATTTTTAGGTAATGTATTTCTTTTGGTCTTTTATGGTCAGTCAGTAGTGTTAAACTACTTTACCATCTGTTAAAGATGCAGTCAGTAGGGAATTCAGCTAGTTTGTTTAAACCCTTGCAGATTGCATGCTCTTTTTTTAAATCTTTCAGAATATTAGAAGAATTATGCAATGATTTGTTGAAATGTGGACTTAATGGTGCTGCTTTAATCAGTTTGCTTCCAGTGTGGCTTCTGACCCAGAAGCCTCAGGACCAGTGGAAATTAACAGAATTTCAAAAGCTTTCTGTTCCTACCTATACCCTACCAGCAAAGTAGAATTGTATTAGTAATGAATGATATGATAAAGTTTGACCAAGTTAGTTTTTTGTTGTTTTGAATTTGCATTGTACATTCTCACTCCTTTTAAAGAATGTTGATGTATGAGTGTAAAGATGCTAGAGAAACTATGCTCAGATATTCATCATAAGTGTCCCTTTCACCTATATGTTATAAAATTTCAGACTGGTCACTTATCGTATTTCTTTAGTGAGAATGTGGTAAAAATTACAACAATCTTTTAAAAAGATGATGCAGTTCTGTATTTATTGTGCTGTGCCTGGCCCTAAGTGGAGCCAGTTATATAAGTTTCATATGTATTTTTTCCAGTGTTAAATCTCACACATTGTACCCTGTGGAAATTTCCTTCCATCCTGAAGAATGAATAGTAGAGGCCATATATATATTGCCTCATATCCTTGAGATTTCACTATCTTTATGTTAAAAGTTGTGTATAATTGTTAAAACCTATGAAAGAAATAAAAAGTGGATTTAAATTAACATTTTTCCTTTTTGTGTACCTGGCAAGATTGGCTAGAAAACATGCTGTCTTGAATTTTGACTTACTGTTCTGAGTATGAACTTTTACATTTAAAAATTTTTCCATTCTTTAACTGTGGCTAAAGATTTTGTAATTGAATGGTGGGCTTCACTGTAGACTATAAAAAGTTTATAATGATAAACACTATGATTGGGAAAACAGTACACAGAATCTCATACCATTCTGAATATTAAATTGAAAAGTCAAAAGATTTCTAAAATTATACCTGTAAATTAAAGGAATCAGTCAGTCATACCCATCTCTTTTTTGACAAATGAACTAAAGCCTTGTAATTCATTGATTTTTCAAGTTAAATTATTTAAGATCCAATATGGTGATATGTTACATAGTGCATATTTATTTACTTAGATTTAAGTATTAAACATACATTTATGTTTAACAGTCTCCAAGGAATAAAGAAGTTTGGGATGAACAACTATATTACTATCAGAAGTGAAGTTTATAAAAAGAAATATTTAAAAATTCACAGGAAACCATTATAAGATGTTTGGGTCATTTCTAGTCGTCCTGGTAATGACCCATTATTGTTTTTAGGCTATTAGTTTTAATGGAGTTACAATATCATAGTACAAGAAAGGACCAACATTCCCAAGTAGGGTGCCACTGAAGTTCTGCTAAGAGCATCCTCTTGGTTTTAGTACCCCCTGAAGTTGACTCTGAGACAAGTATTTGAGTCCAGATAATTGATTTGGAATATGAGCAGGGAAAACACCAGGGGGGATAGAGAATTGAGTTGGAATTGAAGGAAGCCCTAAAAACCCTCTGGGCTTTTGAACCCAAATCCTGCTGGAGAGTTCTGGGAGCAGGTGAAGATCATGTACCTGGTATTCCACCTAGGAGTGTGTGCTATAGGAAATTAGAGTTACTTCCTCAGTAATTCATAACTAACTCCTGTCAATCATACTTTGAAGGCTGTTCCCACAAAGACTGAGAGAGTCAGTGTTCAACACATGCAAATCGGTGTATTGGGCACAGGTGGCCACAGAAAATGCTTTGCCAAGAGATTGTGGTGTGGGCAACTGAGGACCACCTGGTATGCTCTTTATCAATACAGCAGTCGTGAAGAGTTATATGTGGGAGATTACTAGCAACTACTTGAGGCTTCTCAAGTATCCAGGAAAAAATGATTATTCAGTCAACTGAAAGACCATACTACAAGTAAGAAGACGGTGTAAAAGGAGCTGGAGACTTTGTGACGTGTTTTTTTTTTTTTTTTTATCAATAGAGAATGCACACACCAATGTACTAATTATGATTATTCATAGACTAGATGGGTTTAATGCTCCTGAAAGTAACCAGCTTCCTAGATTAATGGATTTTTTTAAAGGTTTATTTACGTATGCATGCAGAACTGGGGTGCAGGCCAGAGGTAGTGAGAGGAATCACCAGACACAGAGTGGGGAGCAGAACAGGCAGATTGACAAAGTACACTGCTGAGGGGAGCAGCAAGGGAGACATGAGAGACTGCACCATGTTGATCACCTTTGGGCTGGGGATGGAACTTGCTCTGACGCTGTAGTGGCTAACTTGCAGTGCTGCTAACTTGCAGTGCTGAGTCCTATCCCGTTGTGCCATCAAGAAGGGCTGATTAATGGATAGTTTGACTGTTTTGTAAAAGATTTATTATTTATGTATACAAGAGCTGGGGTGTAGGCCAGAGGTGCATGGAAAGTGAGAGTGTTACAGGGCAGGGAGAGAGGCACCAGAATCCTCACACGTTGGGTGCCAATTCTGTTACAGGACAGGGAGAGAGGCACCAGTGAACCCCCAAACCTGCCTGCTCTAAATGGGTTCTGCCATCCACCGCATCAAGACAAAACATATAAGACTTTAATGAAAAGGAACTTTAATACACTAAGTATACAATACAGAAGACAAAGAACATAATTTCCAAATCAAACACTTGAAGTTATCCATTCCCTTGTGGGCAAAAGTCAACCCAAAAGGGATTGGCCCAAGCAAGGCCTGAAAGCCCGCAACAAGACTAAGCACCTTCTGGCCCAGACCCACAGAAAAGGGTCAGAAATGGCCAGACAAGTCTGGGAGGAAAAGAGTGGAACTTGGAACTTCCCTTTTACTAGGGACCACCCAGTTACAAGAGGAGTCACCATAGACAGTGGAGAACAAAACAGGAGAATTGACTGAAATATACTGCTGATGGTGTAACAGGGTGGTCCCTAGAAAGAGGGGAAGTTGCAGGTTCCCTGCCCCACCCAAAAGGAGGGTGGAGCTGAGCACAGAAAAAGGAGAAGAGAAGGAATCAGAGGAGAGGAAGAAAAAAAGGAAGCTGGATGGAACAGCAAGCATGTGATGAAGAAACTGGGCTTGTTTCCTGATCCTGTAACAGTTAAGGCAGATGTGAGTGAGATACCTGTAGGGAGGTGACTATGGCAGTGTTTATATTGATTTTTTGATTTTGCTCTTTTCCTCCCAGACTTGTCTGGCCATGTCTGACCCTTTTCCGTTGGGTCCCAGCCAGAAGGTGCTTTAGTCTTGTGGCGGCTCTCTGGCCTTGTTTTGGGCCAGTCCCTTTTGGGTTGACTTCTACCCACGTGGGGATGGGTAACTTCAGGTGTTTGATTTGGAAATTATGTCCTTTGTCTTCTGTATTGTATGCTTACTGTATTAAAGTTCCTTTTCATTAAAGTTTTATATGTTTTGTCTTGATGCGGTGGATGGCAGAACCCATTTAGAGCAGGCAGATTTGGGGGTTCAGTGGTGCCCCTCTCTCCCTGTCCTGTAACAATGGGAGCAGCAGGTGAAACAGGAGCAGTCTACTGCACCTCGTGGGTCACCTCCCTGGCCTGCCAGGAATCAAACTTGTGCTGCAGTGGCTGGTGAATGCTCGATAGGGCCATCTTTAATCCCTGCACCACCAGGGAGGCCCCGATATTTTAATTATTTACTCCACCCCCTAATTAATACTGAAAAGGAATTGAAATCCATTAAGGCTAACTGATTTGCTCAGTCAGACAGCTACTTAGCGTAGTAGTTTAGTCCTCCAGCTTTCTAGTGGCTCCGCACAGTGAAAAAAATAAAATTGCCATCTGATAAATTTGAGGGTCAAATTCCTTCTATTATGCTGTCCATGAATTGAGCAACGTCCTGTTTAGCAAGTAGAAAGGCACTCCAGAGCAGGTTCTTAGGAACCTAGAGAGGGTGGAACAAGGAGGTTTTTAGCAAAAAAAAAAATAAAGGATTGTTTCAGGTTGGGTTACTTTCCCTGAGGGGAAGCCAGGGGCTTTTTAATCAGGCTGGCAGATAATCTGGCTAGTGTTGATCAGGAAATTCCAGACTGATTGGTTAAAAATTCCACTGCTGGGAGATGTTGAAACTAAGT